CATGGCCAGGGAAGGGCGGCTGCTCCTCTCCCGGGAGGATCCCGAGGGATCCCCAGCCAGGGAAGGGCGGCTGCTCCTCTCCCGGGAGGATCCCGAGGGATCCCCAGCCAGGGAAGGGCGGCTGCTCCTCTCCCGGGAGGATCCCAAGGGATCCAAAGCCAGGGAAGGGCGGCTGCTCCTCTCCCGGGAGGATCCCGAGGGATCCAAAGCCAGGGAAGGGCAGCTGCTCCTCTCCCGGGAGGATCCTGAGGGATCCATGGCCAGGGAAGGGCGGCTGCTCCTCTCCCGGGAGGATCCCGAGGGATCCAAAGCCAGGGAAGGGCGGCTGCTCCTCTCCCGGGAGGAGGCAGGAGGATTTCTCCAAGGAAAACAAGGCCAGGCCCAGGCAGGTCCCGGCAGAGCCCGGCTCAGGCTGCACAGGGGATCTGGGATTGCCAAACTCCGGCCTGGGAGGGGTTGGGATTAACCCAGGGGCCTTGGAGGGGTTGGGATTAACCCAGGGGCCTTGGAGGGGTTGGGATTAACCCAGGGGCCTTGGAGGGGTTGGGATTAACTCCCAGGGACCTTGGAGGGGTTGGGATTAACTCAGGGACCTGGGATGGGTTGGGATTAACTCCCAGGGGCCTTGGAGGGGTTGGGATTAACTCCCCAGGGACCTTGGAGGGGTTGGGGTTAACCCAGGGACCTTGGAGGGGTTGGGATTAACTCTCCAGGGATCTGGGATGGGTTGGGATTAACTGGGAATAGGAAAGGGGTGGGAACATCTCCCAGAGAATCCCAGGGAATGGTTGAGATGAGGACCTGGATTCAAAACAGGAATGAGAAAGGGGTGGGAACATCTCCCAGGGAATTTGATGGGAATGTGTTGAATTCGATGGGAATATATTTATTTTGATGCAAAAGTGTGTATTTTGATGTGGAAGCGTTGAATTTGATGCTCCTGGGAGGTCTCCAGGGGTCTCCTTTCCCACCGGGAATTCCGGCTCTGGCTCCCGGTGTCTGATGGCCCTGGATCTACTCCCGGGAGGTCTCTGGGGTCTCCTTTCCCACCGGGAATTCTGGCTCCTTCTCCTGGTGTCTGACGGCCCTGGATCCACTCCCGGGAGGTCTCCGGGGTCTCCTTTCCCACCGGGAATTCCGGCTCTGGCTCCCGGTGTCTGATGGCCCTGGATCCACTCCCGGGAGGTCTCCGGGGTCTCCTTTCCCACCGGGAATTCCGGCTCTGGCTCCCGGTGTCTGACGGCCCTGGATCCACTCCCGGGAGGTCTCCGGGGTCTCCTTTCCCACCGGGAATTCCGGCTCTGGCTCCCGGTGTCTGACGGCCCTGGATCCACTCCCGGGAGGTCTCCGGTGTCTCCTTTCCCGCCGGGAATTCTGGCTCCTTCTCCCGGTGTCTGATGGCCCTGGATCCACTCCCGGGAGGTCTCCGGGGTCTCCTTTCCCACCGGGAATTCCGGCTCTGGCTCCCGGTGTCTGATGGCCCTGGATCCACTCCCGGGAGGTCTCCGGGGTCTCCTTTCCC